ATGTATTACAAATTACTATTGTTTTATTTTTTATTTTAAGCTTTATTGCTTTTATTACAAAGATTATTTTATTGCTTTTCTTGCCAATTATGTAAGTTAATAACAGTTACAATAACTTCAAAACAGTGTTATTAAATTTGAGCCATTATTGAAAAGCAATGTCTTAAATGTTTAAAAAATCTATAGTAAATGTAATTTATGTACGCAATTTTTATCATATAAATATATATATATATATATACATATATATACATATATATACATATATATATATATATATATATATATATTATATATATATATATATATATATATATATATATATATATATATAATCATTAGATGTACTGTAATTATCTCTTTTATTTAAAAGGCGCTTTAAAGCACTGTGAAAATTATTAACCTTTAGTATAAATTAAATAAACAGAAATATTTAAATCAAATGAAAATTAAGATGTGTAATATATAAAACAAATATGTATATTAAATGCTTATGTCTTGATTCAAATCGTTAGTCTATATGATATATTATTTTATATATAGACAATAACTATTTGAATATATACATAATATATTATATATAGATATCTGTATTTTATTATATTACATATATATAATATATTATTATATATAAACAATTATATATATATATAATATATATATATATATGTAAATATATATATATATACATATATATATATATATATATATATATATATATATATATATATATATATTATATATATATATATATATATATATATATATATAAAATATATTATTAAATATAGATAAAAACTATTTGAATACTTAAATAGACGATAGCGTTAAATAAGCGTAAATACTATGATTTTAATTATGTAAATTAAAACTTACTATTATATACTATTTGTATATATTATTAAAATTTCTTTGTATTTTAAACATTTAATTATTATATACTATTTGTATATATTATTAAAATTTCTGGACAAGGTGCAAAAATGCATTGGAAACACAGTTGGACCTGCTCTTGCAGCTTACCTCCAACCATTATCACATCATTATAATGTTTTTTTGTCTCTTTTTTATAAATACTACAATGAACACAGCTCTAAAGAGCTACCGTCTCTTGTGCCATCTACTAAAATTCATTCTTGCGTTGCTCATCATTCAATTAAGTCTCATCCTTTTACTGTGACTGTTCCTAAGTGCTCCAAAAATACTTATTTCTCTAGATTTTTTCCTCTAACATCAGTCCTTTGGAATTTGCTTCCTTTATCTTGTTTTCATGATTCATATAATTTTCAATATTTTAGGCCGTCTGTTAATCATTTTCTTGCTCTATAAACTTCATTTTTCTTTTCCAGTAACTTCCAACTCTAATAGTGGTTGATTGAGCCTTGCTGGAAGTGAAAATGTTGAAAAAAATAATAATACTTTATATTATAACTTATACAATGTATAAATTAATGTAACAAAAACAGGGCAAAAATTTGATATTCTAAACACTTTTTAGCATATATATATATATATATATATATATATATATATATATATATATATATATATATATATATATATATATATATATATATATATATATATATATATATATATATATATATATATATATATATATATATATATATACAAGTAACAACTGTTACTTATTTATTATATGTGCTACTATTTAACTATTATGTATTTTATTGCAAGATACTAACATGAAGTACTTTTTTCATTTTATTTGACAACAGATTTATCAATATTTTTTGTTAAATATAGTTAAAAATCTTACATACAATAGTAAGATTTAAGAGATGTGAAAAATACACATTAAAATTGTGTAAAGACAAGTATTTGAATGCATAAATGTAAAGACAAGAATTCGAAAGTATTGAATACTCATTTCTGGCATTTGTGGAGCTGTGTATGCGCAATTAAATGCCATTTCTGACCACATCAGCATACACAAAAGCTTTATATGTCACAATCACTTCGGATCTAAAATGCTCTTAAGCTAAACTTCTAACAAATACTTGAATCAACTATGTATAAGTAGCAGGGATGAGTCTGGAGCCCCCATTTTAAAAGTTCATAAAAATTTGTCCATAAAAATTCAAAGTCCATAAATTTAAATTCCAAAAAGTTAAAGTCCAATAATTTGATTTCATTAAAATTTTGTGACTAGTTTTTAAGTGGTTTGAAATTCCCAAACATTTACATTTTTAAATGTGTATCATATTTTAAACGTACAGATAACTTTTTTTTTATATAAACATGTTTGTTGAAAAAATTTAAAACATATTTTAATAAATATAATAAAAAACATAATTTCGTTTTCATTTTTACAAAAACCTGTGTCAGTGAATGAAATAATGATAAAAACAACCAGATTTGAATGAAGCATTATACATTATATATGGACATTAAGCAGTATTTCTATTCACACAGCACTTATTATTGTTCCAGCAGCACTGCGTGCAAATCCTTGTTAGATATTGAATGTAGACTAAGTGGAACCTTTTAACAATTCTCAAATATAATACTATTTTAACTATAATATAACACTTGCTGGTTTAAAAATTTGCTATATGATATTAGATACAGGAACATTATATACGGTTTACTAATGTTTCTTTTTGTGTTAAATTTGATTAACTCTAATTATCTAGCAAATATATTTGTTAGATAACATTATTACTTGCCAAAATTACTTTGTTTTATCTAAATACGAGATGAAATAATTTTGGTAATTTACTGAATAAATTTTAAAAAGTACATTTGATTTTCTAATCCATAAAAATTGCATCTAAGTCCATAAATCCATAAAAATTGCATAAAAGTTGCATCTAACTTGGTGTTAAATTTGCAAAACTGAACTTATCCAGAAAGATTAGAATAACAAGCTTACATAGATAAGCAAAACTTGAATATTTCTGGTTCAGCTTAATGGTTATTTATAATTAAATGTGCTGCAAAATAATATAATAAAATATAAATAAAAAAAATAACTCATATCTTCAGTTTAAAAATGCAGTTTGAAAAATAAATTAAAAAAAAAAGAGATTTAAAACAAAAATATGTATTTACCTTTTTCGATTTGCTTTTCGTTAATCCCTAGAATAATATATATATATATATATATATATATATATATATATATATATATATATATATATATATATATATATATATATATATATATATATATATATATATATATATATATATATATATATATATATATATATATATATATATATATATATATATATATATGAATTATAGTTTGAATGCTTAGAGCCAATTACCTTATCTCCTCTAATTTATGATAACTTATAAAACTTAGATTAACATTAAATAAGAATAATATATAAATTAGAAAATATTTTGATTCAAACTTTATAAAAAAAATAAAAATTTACTAAATGAAACCTGAAAACCAGAAAACTTTGGCAATTTATTCAGTTTTTGAATTTCTTTTTCTTGTGTTGAACATCTTTCATTTAATCCTGCAAAATCTTAAAATCATATACATGAAAATTATATTTAAATTTATATGTACATTTATGGGACAAAATCTTAGGAATAAAAAAAAGGAAAATGATTTAAAGCAATTTAAATAACTTGTTGTCATCCCAACATGCACAAACTATAATGTGGGCCAACATTGCACACACAGCGATGACACATCCCATACAAAAAGTCCCCAACAAAACAAAAAGTTAAGGAGCTATATCTAATAATATTTAATATATCTAAATATATTATAATATATTAATTATATTTAAATATAAATATAAATATATATATATATATATATATATATATATATATATATATATATATATATATATATATATATATATATATATATATATATACATATATATATATACATATATATAGCACATATAGATAACAAATTGTTACTAGTTTTTCCTATCTTTATATCATACAGCGTTTTCAGAAAAAGAAGAAAAAAATAAAGAATGAAAGAAAAGATTGCTGCCACATTGCAAACTGTATATAGATGTGCTGGGAGCAGGCTATAAGGTTGTTGATATATGCCCCCATATATAAATATGTATAAGATAGTTGATAAAGCCCCTGGCATCAAGCTATTTCAGTGTGACGTCAGAGACGTTATCTAAACACGCACTCTGATACATTTATAGAAAATTATGTACTATATTGCTGTAGTTGTGCAAATAAAAAATGGAGGTGTTGCAATTTTTCAAAAAAATCAACTAAACTCATTGGAAGCATCTTCATTCTATTCTGTAGATACCAAACAGGTTTGGGCTTGTATATACTTTGGAGTTGAAAATATTCAGCAGGTTGTATTTACAGACCACCAAATTCAAATGAATTTATAAATGATAAAATATAAATATTATAAAAAATGCAAAAATTTATTTATCATAGTTACAGGCAATTTTAACTACAACACAATTAGACGGTTCTCAAATTAGTGTTACTAGTTAATAGGCAAGCTAAAATATTTGTAAATTGTCTTGATGAATGCTTAAACCAATCCATTGTAAACCCTACATTTCAAAGAACCACTTTTTATGAAACAAACATACTTGACTTGATAATAGTAAAAAATGCAGATGGAGCTAATTAGACTTATTATAATAAACATTTTCATGGTGGCTACACTTTTTTTGAGTTAAAAAATTAAAAGAATGTAGAAGACTTTAGGAAATTTTGAAGAATTTTTTAGGAGATTTTACAGAGAAACTAGAAAAAACGAGGAAATTAAAAAAAAAAAAAACGAATAAAATTAGGATTATTTTAAGAGAATTAAAAAAAAAAATTCTTTTAAATTTAAAATTATTAAAAAATTTTAATAAAAAACTTGAAAATTGAATTAAAAAAAAAAAACTTCAAGCTCAAAAAACAGGTTTTAAGAGAATTCAAGAGTATTCTTGAAATTCAAGTTTTAGGAGAATTTAGGTCTCGCTAGTAGGTTTTTCAAATATTAGGATATTTTAGAATTTATTAAGAGGCGTGGCCACCCTAATTTAGGTAAAAAAAAACCAAAGACATCACATAACAACAGATCATTTTAAGTGATTTAAATATTTTCAATAAGTATTTATAGAAAACAGTGTATAATATTATAACAAATACAACATATTTATAGAAGACATTTTACCAAACTTTGATAAAAAGTGTTTAAATTCACTACAATTCATTAATATACCTTAACTAAAGTTACTAATATGATACATGCTAAAACTGAGAAAATTGGCAAACAGTAAATCATTGGATATCCTTTATACTGATTTGACAAAAGCTTTGACAAAGAGTTGCACAGAAGATATATAATACAAAAGATATATAATACAAAGTGTATTCAAATAAACACTTTAAAAGAGCTCCTTGTGAAAAAAACCAAGTATTTATTTATGTTTTCTTGAAGAAATGAACCTTAGAATTTTTGTGTAGAAATTATGCATATAATGCTTTTTAGCCTATGCACAATTTTTGTTTTAGCAATTCCAATTGAAGTTTTTCCAAGCGTCCGATGCAGTGATATTTTTTGATGTTATTTTAATTTACTTGGTGTCATTTTGCAGCTAAATTTTAATACTAAAATGTACAAAACTTTTTTTTAAAAAAAAAGTTAGTTTTTTTAGTTTTTATAAACAAAAAACACAATTTTTTCAAATTAATTAGTAATTTCAAATTAATTAGTAATTTTCAAGTTATTTTAAGCTCAATAGATTCATGTTAATTATATAAATATTTGGACAAAAAGAAAATCTCCTGGAATTGCAGATTTTCTTTTTGTCTAAATATAAATATTTGGACAAAAAGAAAATTTCCTGGAATTGCTGCATAAGTAATACTTAAAATTCAATACTTTTAGTGTTTATACACTTTTAGTGTTTAAGCACATAAACAAAAGCCACATGTTTTATGGCTTTTGTTATATTATGTTATATAATATGAAAAAAAAGTTAGGATCTTTTTTACATTGTTTTAGTATCGATTCAAATAATAAAGGGTTACTATGTCAAGAAAGAATTCTTACTTGATTCTGTTTTTTGTAATTTGGAACTTAATTCATAATTTTGTGAACGGAGCTCTAGCAACTGCATCTAAAATAAATGTTAAGTCCCCATAGAAAAAACAGATAATTTAACTATAAAACAATGATTAACTATCACTATAAGAAGTAAGATTCTGTACTTGGAGTCTAGAAAACTCTTCTTCTGATATTGTGGCCATTTTATTTGAATAACATTTGTCGACAACCGTAAATTTAATGAAAACAAACCAAACAACGGGAATTTAAAAAATTATATCGGAAAATTATTTTTACATTTATTATACAAAAAGTAATAAAGTTACAATATCAAAATGAATTAAAACAAAATAAACTTCATTTCAAATCTTTAAAATTTACTTAAGACCTAAAATAAGTCTTTGTGCAAGCTAGAAAAAAATTTAATAAAAGTGTATTTATCAGAAGTGTTATGTAATTTGAGATTTTATTAAATAATATAAAACTTAAATTTCAGTTTTAGATTTTAACTTTAATATTATAATTGTTATAATTATTATCTTTATAGTTGTAGCCGTAAAATATACATACAATTTATATATACAGCGAGCAGGGAAAACACCCTACTATAAACAACCAGTTTTATAAATATTCGTTCCGAATTTTATCCTCAACCAGTGATCTAGTCTAATTTTAAAAGAAAATACAGTTGAGTAGAAAGTTACTTGCTCGGGTGGTTCGTTCCAGTATTTTGCTGATCTATAGTTAGTTGTGTCTCGGAAGACATATTTACGCCTTATTTTAAAATGGTGACCCCGTGACAAGGAGTTAATAAAATTTGGTTCATATAAAGTATTAATTATATCAAATCGATGTATTAGTTTAAAAATTTGCATAAGATTGCATCGTAGGCGCTGAAACTCAAATGATGGTAGATTTAGTCTTCTTAGTCTTTCGTTGTATTGAAAATTTTTTGAGCTTAAAGCTCAAAAAATTTATATTGAATAGATTTGACCAAAGCTACGTCAGTTTTTAAATACTAAATAGACACTGCATATTCAAGGTGTGGTTTTAAAAACACTTTATATAATTTGAGAGGCATTTTTCATCAATGAATGTAAGTTTATTTTTTAACATGCCAAGAATTTGTAAAGATTTGGAGACAACTGATTGAATATGTGTGCTCTACTTGAAGTTAGATATAAAAATGACTCCTAAATAGCGCTTTTTAGTAGAGTTTCTTAGGCTTTCATTTATACCTTGGTTATTTTTCAAAAAGTAACTATACATAGAATTGGTTTTACCATAATAGATAACACAGTATGTTGAAATGTTTAATTTAAGTAACCAAGTGTTTGACCGCTATATATTTAGCGTAGACGATCCTGCAGATCAACGAAACTAGTCTGCGATAAAGTTTTAGAAAAAGGTTTAGTATCGTCGGCAAATATTTTAGAAGTTTCAGTACGTTGAGCAAGACCATTTGTAAAAAGAATAAAGTGGAGCGGGCCGAGAACAGAACCTTGAGGAACACCACTAAGAACATCAACCCAGACAGAGCTAGTATTGTTAATTGTAACGCGTTGCTTTCTACCTATTGAAAAAGAAAAAAATCCATTGTAGTAGTTAGCCATTTATTCCAAATGGTTTTAATTTTAAGAAAAGTCTGTTGTGAGGTACGTAATTAAAAGCTTTAGCAAAGTCAGGGTAGATTATATTTCAAAACTGGCGCGATGCTAGGGAAGACGAAATAATATCAAAATCTCTATTAGATTGGTTACACAAGATTTATGATAAAGAAAGCCATGTTGATTTTTAGAGAGCAGATTGTTATCGTTGATGTGCTTCAAGATTTTATTCTTTACAATTTTTTCAAAGATTTTGCACGCAACCGAGGTTAGTGAAATAGGTCGATAGTTTTCAGGAAGTATTTTGTCTCCTTTTTTTTATAGATAGGACTAATATTTGCTAATTTCCAGAGAGTTGGTACTATTCCAGAATTAAAAGATTCATAGAAGATTTTTGCAAGCGGAATTGTGGATCTTTTGACACATATCTTAAGTATTAAAAGGTGGAAGCAGTCAGGTCCAAAAGGTTTGTAAAGTTTTATATCGGTAAGTTCATTAACAATGTCTACAATAGAGAAATCCAAGCTGCTATTATAATTGCATTTAAGTTTAACTTCACTTTTATTTTAACTATGAAAAATTTTCGGAGCTTTCAAGAGTAAACATAGATTTGAATTGAGGGTTCAGAAGTTCAAGTATATTGGGAAGAGTTTCAGTAATTTCCCCTAAAGTATTTTTGTGAGAACCAATTTTAACTTTAATTTTTAATTGGTTGCTAATGTATTTGTAGACGAGTTTTGGGTTGTTCTGAGATTTTGATATTATTTCTTTATCATATATTTTTGCTTTAAATATTTCAGCTTTAGCGGAACAATTAAGAAAATTATAATTTGTTTGAGGTCTTTATCCTCCCATTTAGTTGAGCAGTTGATATGCCAAGCCAATTTTTTTGCTTGGATTAAGCTTTTAATATGTGGAATAACCTAAGGATCATACTTTTTTTTTATTACATTTTTAAATCTTGGGGATAAAAAATTTGAAAGCAGTACGATAATAAAAAGTTAATAAATTGAACATTTGATCCGCATTTTTCTGTAGAAATAAAATATTCCAATCGACTAATGCAATAAAGTTTGAAATTGAATTATAATCACCTTTGTTGTAACTAAACAATTGAGATTCGTTTTCTGGTAGCGGTTCTGAAACTAAGGTTCTCGAAGTAATAGGGGAAACTGGGGTAATATGGGGTAGTGGGGCAAAATGGGATTTTGAAAATACCCCCCATTCAGAGCCTCAGAGCATCGAAAAAAATATTGGATTTGAAATATCGCGAGAAAAGACGTCGCCATCTTTTACTTTTGTTCACGTTTTCTTCAAGTATCGTCGTTGAGAGGTAAATACAATTTTGTCAACTTTTTCATCTTATTTTTTAACATTATATTTTAAGAAGCAGCTTCTTTGTAATTAAAGCTTTGAATTAAATATATTATTGTTCCTGAATGATATTATATATTAAGCAATTAAGAATCTTATATATTCATGAGCTTTGCTCTGCTTTGTTTTTTCGAACAGTTTTATTATGCCTCCTATGTTGGGGTAAAATGGGGTGTCTCAAAGGGGCAAAATGGGGAAATACCCCATTTTGCCCCTTTGAGACACCCCATTTATCTAAATAGGGTGTTATTTATCTAAATTATAGAAATGAGATGTGGTTTATATTTAAATGTGATCCTATTTTTTTAAATTACTAAAAGACTCAATAGGCCTGCTATAATTTTATTCAATAGGCCTAGGTTCTTTTAATAAATAATACTAATAATTAATACTAGTCTATTTTTAAAATATAATTTTATTGTTGTTAAAGTTCAGTTAAAGTATTATTATAGCCTATACTATAGAACTATAAATATAAAATAAGAAAGTCTAGTTTGAGCTAAGTCATCTATGTTGGAAATCTCGTCTAAAGGGCAATTAACGGGTTATTTTGCAATAGAACTTCATACGCACGGGCTTAGAAGAACGTAACGAACTTATAAACGTGAAAAACCAATTTTAATACAAGTTTTCAAAACCACTTGGGAATTGCGCATCTGCGCAATTCTTACGTTAAATGTGTAGCTATTTTGTAGATTTAGTTACTGATTCGCAGTCAGTGGAGTATAACGTTATAAACGAAATATATATATCTTAAACAAATAGTGATTTGCTATGTTTTTAGATTTATATTATTATTTAATTTGTCTTAGGGAAACATAAAATAAATTCCCTACATCTAAGTCTAAGTAGTCTAGCTAAGTAAAAAAATAATTCTGAAATTTTATTATAATAATAGTAGGCCTATTTGTTTAGTTCTTACTGAATCGTACTTAAATTGCTGATATTAAAGTTGTTTTATTTTTTATTTTTTCAGATTATTAACTTAGAAAAAAATGAGAAATTACAAAAGAATATCTGAACGCCAAACTTGGAATAAAACCAAAGTGCAGCAGGCCGTACTGTCTGTGATCAATGGTGATCATGGGTATAAAAAGGCAGCTGCAATGTATGGTGTGCCACAGACAACCCTCGAACGCAGAGTGGCTAAATTTAAGAAAAATCCTGATATTGAGGATGCTTGCAAAAAGAGTAAGTAAATGTTAAGTACAATCTAAATTTAGGAATTTTTCACATTTTTAAATATTAAATTAAATGCCAGAAAATAGGCTATGGTATTTGTTTTAAATAAATGAGTTTGTATGAAAAGCATCTTTATTTAGTTAATTCTAATTCTAATTTTTAATTTTAATTTCTTTTTCAGCGCTAGGCGCATTCAAAACTATCTTTACATTGGAAGAGGAGGCAGAACTTGTTCAGTATGTTCAGCAGATGGAGAAAATGCTTTTTGGCCTAACCTCCTATGAGCTGAGAAAACTTGCCTTTGAACTGGCTGAAAAAAATAAAAAGGCTCATAAATTTAATAAAGAGTTGGGGGTGGCCGGTTACGACTGGTATCAGGGTTTTATGTTGAGACATGCCAAACATTTGTCACTGAGAAAGCCTGAAGCGACATCTGCAGCCAGAGCAATGGGCTTTAACAAAGTAGCTGTTAATAAATTTTTCGAGCTTGTTGAGAATGTCATTGACATAAATAAAATTGATGTCGAAAGAGTATGGAACGTCGATGAAACAGGCATTTCTACTGTCCCTAAGTCGCTGAAAAAAAGTTATTTCCACAAAAGGAAAAAGGCAAGTTGGCTCTCTTACATCTGCAGAAAGGGGTCAACTTGTTACAGCAGTAGTTTGCTGTTCAGCAAGTGGGAGATACATGCCACCTATGTTAATCTTTCCCCGTCAGCGCATGAAGGCAGAGTTGATGGATGGAGTACCTCCTGGTGCTTAGGCAGAATGCCACCCAAGTGGATGGATCCAGACTGATTTATTTATAAATTGGTTAAAGAAATTTATATTACACACAGGAGCCACAAAAGATTCACTAGTTCTTTTAATATTAGATGGACATGCGACACACACTAAAAGCATAGAGCTTATTGACATTGCCAGAGAGAATGGTGTCATTCTCCTTTGTTTGCCTCCACACTGCACTCACAAAATGCAACCTCTTGACATTTCGTTTATGAAACCTCTGAGTACATTTTATGACCATAATTTAAGGAAATGGTTAAGAACAAATCCTGGGCGTGTGGTAACGCAATTTCAAGTTTCATTACTG